GGGGGAGGGGAGGCCACCCGGGAGCCGCGAGAGGGCAGTTATTCATCCGTCTGTATTCCTGAGAAGTGCCTCGTTTGGCTCAATGTAAATGTGTTAGAGTTTGCGTAGCCTGGGCGGCAGAGTAGCATAGTGGTAAGGAATAGGGCTCGTAACTGAATTGTTGCTGGTTCAATCCCCCACTGGGACACTGCTACTGTGTACCCTTGGGCAAGGTACTTAACCCAGAATTGCCTCAGTGAATATCCAGCTGTATAAGTGGATAATGTGTAAAAATTGTAACCTGTGTAAGTCACTCTGGATAAGAGCGTCTGCTAAATGACAGTAATGTAATGTAATAGCCTGACACCACAAGCTCAGATCAGTTTAGTCTCATTGCTCTCGGTTTCCTCCTTTCTTATCAAAGTGTGGTCATGGCTCTGTGGGTTACGCCACATTCAGATCAGGGTTGCGTGCGGCTGTGTTGGTAACCGCGCCGTAAATATTATTGTCAGTCTGTGTTGCTCACTGAAAAGCTGCCAGGGCCTACTGCCTTTTGGACGGGGTCTGTTTTGTGTTTCCTCCGTGACGCATAGTTTAACGGCCGCGGCGACATCGTTTTTCGCAAAACGCTTCCTGGAATGTAGTCGGAGGTAAAAAAAAAAAAACTGAAACGTGGAATTCCAAGAGTGAGTCACTCTCTGGGGGTCATTCCGCTCTCTGCCCAAGCTGGGAAGATGACTAATACTCCCTCACATGTCTGGTGTTGAGGAAGTGAGTGGAAGGAGTTTGGCTGTGGAGTATCCTGGAAGATGTGTGGAGTCAGACTTTTTTATCATAAAACAAGCAGAATGTGGTGAGAGGTGGGGTTTTTTTCCCTCCTTCTTCTTCCTTTACTATGCAGCGGCTTATTCAGATTCTGCTGTGGTATTTTTGGAACCCTCCGTTTGCCAGTCATCTGTCCGAAAAGCCGAATTAGGCTCAGTGTCTTGACAGACATGAAAGTACGCTCAGTTGTCAATAGATTTTTTTGCTCATTAAATTTCAGAACATCTCTCTGTCTCTCTCTCTTTCTTTCCCTGTCTCTCTTTCCCGTATCCAGCGCCAGGCCAAATACTCGGAGAACAAGCTGAAGTCAATCAAAGCCCGTAACGAGTACCTCCTGACACTGGAAGCAACAAATTCCTCTGTTTTCAAGTATTACGTTCACGACTTGTCTGACTTAATTGATGTAAGTACCGGCAAAATGAGACGTCTGTTTTATTTATAGCAAGCGCTAACTGGACCTGAAGGAGAGGCTCGTTAGTTTATTTTACTGTGAAACGACTTCTGAGTTTGGCTGTGGGGTAGGAAAACTGACAGCTCTTTCCGTGCATCTTATCCGCTTCCCTCATTAATACCTCGTTAAAGATTCTTTACTGCGCTTTCCTCTGCCGTCCCTCAGATCACGAGCGTACCCACTGCGTCGCACAGCTGACATTCAAAAGACCTGCCACGTAGGACAGAATTTAATTAAAGCCATTTTATTTTTATATATTTTTTGTGGATTGTAGTCGATTTCATTTTATGGAGTTTTTTTTTCATGTTGTAGTAGATTGAATTTTGCATATTCTAACATGCAGCATTGACATTCAGTCACCCATTTCACATTCTTGGTAGGTGAACTCTACTGAGATTGTATAGTAGAGCATATCAGTAAATAATTATACTGGTTATTTAAAAGATCAGGTCAGTTGGTAGTGGCAATGTATGATCTATGAGCTGCAAACCACTGCCTCACGGCCACTGTCCTCTGCCTTAAGAGGGAGAGAGTTTCTGCGTGTGGGGCTCAGGTTCCAGTCACCTGTGTCAGGTACATAACCCTGACTTAAAAAAAAAAACAGGCGAACTACAGTGGCAGCTCCTTTTCCCACTGAGGAATGCGGACTGTGAGAGCATGTGCCAGGCGTCTGCCAGGGGGAACCGGTGGGGCGGACTCTACCTCCCCTCCTCTGTGTCTTTGGGGAGAGATGTGAAGGCTGCCATCTGACACCTGCCTAGCGTTGTTGTGGTAACGCGGCGACACTCACACCAGGGCCCTGCGGGGACGGCGGCTTCTGGGCAGGGGTCAACCTGCGCCAGGCTGCCAGGTGAGCTCCTGACTCTCAGTGCTGACACCTGTGCCAGGCATCCATGACCTGCCACACCTGCTGGCAGCATCACGGATCTGGAACAGCGGGGCAGAGAGGAGTGTCCATTCATCCTGCCAGCCACTGCTCCCAAACGCCTGGCTTGCTCTCGGTATGAGCCCAGGACCACAGGCACAGAGCACCGAGGTGCAGGCCCACAGGCCTGCTGGTAGAGACTGTGGCAGCATCCGTGGCAAAGGGGAGGAATTCATTTGGCAGGCAGAAAGTTCTGGACTTTCAGTATTTTACTTCACTGGGTAGTGGGGCATAGAAGACTTTAACAGTGCAGTGGGAGAAATGTAGCATGTTTGTTACTTGTCATACATTTAAATATGCCTTTATTTTAGTTTAGTACTTCAGGGTTAAATGTGCAAAGCCACTGTGTGCTCCAGAAACCCATTTTCTGCATAAGTTAGTTATATCTCTTGTAGGTCGTCCGTGCCTTAGATTTTCTGTGCTCTGAACACCCTGCAGAATGCTTTGCTGACTGTTCCAGAGCCTGCCCTGGAAATCATTTATTTATAAATGTGCCCTGCCTGGAATATTATTTTTCACCTCAAAAATAAATGTGCAGTTCCATGCCGTTACCAAGGAAACCTGAGAAGAACATGGGACCTTGGATCTTTTTGAGGCTTTTGCATTTCTGACAGTACTTTAGAAATCAAGCCTCACTTGTGAGAGGCTCCCCTCCCCTCTCTGGCAGTGTTTATGCGCCTGTCTTTACTTCCTCTGTAACTTTGTCAGCGCTCCTCTTTGGAGGTGACTGTTGTCTGTTGATGAATTTGATCCTGGGAGATCAGCCATCACAGCAGCTGCCTGGCATTCAGTGTCAGGGGCAGGATGAAGACACCCATTCCAGTGCAGGTCTAGGCCAGTCCAGACTTTAGAAGTAGCTGTGCGGGTCTCTCTGCTGCAGGCCAGAGGTACAAAGAATCCTACTGTAGCTGTTCTTCCTGTGAAACTATTGTGAAAAATACTTTGTGCGTCTCTAGTCTAGTCTTGAAATTTGTGATTTGTTGGGCACAGTGACCGATTGGGGTATAGTTTTTCTGACCATAAACACCCAAACCCAAAATCATGCAGTCGGTTTCTCCTGACATATTAGCGTTCTCTCGTTTGCCGTTCTGCCGGGGCAGTGCTGCGATCTGGGGTACCACGCTAGCCTGAACCGGGCCCTGCGCACCTACCTCTCGGCCGAGTACAATCTGGAGACGTCACGGCATGAGGGGCTGGACATCATGGAGAACGCGGTGGACAGCCTGGACCCCCGCAGCGACCGCCAGCGCTTCATGGAGATGTACCCCACTGCCTTCTGCCCACCCGCCAAATTCGAGTTCCAGCCCCACATGGGCGACGAGGTCGGTCCAGTGAGAGGGGTTGACTTACACCCCCCCCCCGCCCTCCAAATAAGATTAGTGAAGTAACACAATGTTCCAGCATACTCGTGTGGGACACCTAAATTTTGTTAAGCTATGTGTCCAGTCCCATGAAGTCTTAATGAGAGCATCTGAGGTAAATGATATGATCTGACTGACTTTTTTATAAGGGAATGCAGAGCCGGCTTAGCCAGCCAACACAATCTCATTTACCTTCAGGCCATTTTTCACAGGTTTATTGAGTTTTGTTCCAAGTTCTGTGCTTCCGTCAGTAGTATGACGTCTGTATTTCCCATCAGCTGTTTTCTTAGACCTCTAGATTCAGAGCCAGATTTCAAACCTGATTTCTCCACATTAACTGTAATCGTAATGAGTCGACTTCCTTTCAGATGACGTGTTCTCCTTCCTGTCAGGTGTGCCAGATCACCGCGCAGCCCCCGGTGCAGGCCGAGCTCATGCTACGGTTCCAGCAGCTGCAGTCCCGCCTCGCCACTCTGAAGATAGAGAATGAGGAGGTGAGCCAAACCCGCACCAACACCCCCACCCACCCCACACCCCAACCCCCACCCCCACTGTCCATTCTACAGCTGTGATGGGGCCACTACTCTCTCTCAGCTGAGGATACAATGACTTGTAAGAGTTTTTTAAGGAATTGATGGTTAGAGAATTGTCTTCGTAAGGTATCATTCACTCACAACACGGCTAACATCCTGACAAAGATCCTGTGAGACCAAAACCCAAAATCTCAGCGAAATTAAAAATCAAAATTAATACTTGTGACTGTTCTGCATGTATCGGAACGTGGGAGTATTTTCTCCTAGATACAGTGACTTTTACCAGAGCGTGTGCCAGATAACAATAACAAAATAAATGAACGTTGCAGTACGGCTGCTTCCCTCAGTGTCTGATTTGAAGGTAAGTTTAATTACGCCTGCCTGCGGGTGTCTCAGATTAGCGCCGGAGCTCTGTGGAGTGTTTATTGGGACAGAGGCTCCATTGCTGTTCGCATGAGTACGTTTAATGAGCTGGAATCCATGCTGTTTCAAACCGCCTCACCCCCCACGGGATACCGTGAGTGTGTGGGCGGCTCCAGGGAGAAAGCACTCTTGGGTACTATGGCATTGCCCCACCTGCTTGCAGTAACTGCCAGTGGAGCCCATTGCAGGTAAATGAAGCAGAGCATTAGCCAGAGCATGTAGCCTGGCTTAGACCTCCAAAGGCCTCTGTGTCATTTACAGGTCAGGATGTAATAGCATTACATTCCATTACATTATTGTCATCTAGCAGATGCTCTTATGCAAAGTGACATACAAATTTTACATGTTATCCATTTATACAGCTGGATATTCACTGAGGCAATTCTGGTTTAAGTACCTCACCCCAGGGGTACAGCAGCAGCGCCCCAGCAGGGAATCGAATCAGCAACCTTTGAGTGACAAGCCCTGTTCCTTACCACTGTGCTACACTGCCGCCCCAAAACTGGCAGTGGAGGGATTTGAACCATGATCTCTAAAGAAACTGAAGCCCTAACACAGCATTTTAGACCACTTGGCCACACTGCCATCTGTTTTGTATAAGTAAATATATTTGCTTGATAGCTCACATAACGTCCTCTATAAGTGAAGTGCTGTTGGTAGCCTTTGCTTTCTCCCTTGGAACTGAGAGTGGTGAGAATGCACTCCAGCTAGAGCTGCCGTTTCCCTCGTAATCACGCTGCGGTCCTGGGAATTTTTCTGCAGCTTCTCGGATTTTCTCCCTGTCATCTTGAGGCTCATCCCCAACTGCTACATTTTAATCTGGCTTCAGCCAGCACGCCAGGACGCTTGGCCAGAAAACCGCGGAGAGGGAGACGGGGAGGTGGAGACGAAAATGGCTGGGCCTGCACCAGAGTTGCAGAGTGGAATCATGGCCGTCGTCCTGACTGTACTCCCAGAATCCTGCAGCTCACCTTGTTCTGACCTTCCCTGTGTTTGATGTGCAGCTTTCTCTGTTAGACTTCCCACGCAAAGGCAAACCAAGATACTCTCTGTACACTGGCCTGTTGCTGTTGTGGAGCAGGCAGTTGCCCCTGGGTATAGATTCAGACTGCGAGTGAGGAAACCCCATCTGTGTACCTCAGAGATGATTCCGAAGCACGCCTGTGAGCTTCAGTATCTTTTGAGCTGTGTGTGTTCTGTCTTCAGTGCTGTGTCCGTGGAGAGAGACAGTGGTTGTGTGTGTGTGTGTCTTGGGTTGTTTTCTCCTGGATAATTTGCGGAGTGGCAGAACTGCGATTGCATTAGCGTACCCCTGTTGCACTCAGTTATCTAATCAGTCTCTATTGATGCGCATTGCCCAATATATTGGAATGTGCCCTTGAGAACCGGATGTTCTCATTGGTCAGGATGTGGGGTCCGGTCTTTGCAGTTTCAGCAGATTCTTTATTTTCCGGAGTACACTAGGTTTTCAAAAAAAAAACAGGGCATTTGAGGGTCTTCATCGCCCCCCCACACCACCTCCCCCTCCCCCCGATCAGAGCCTTGCATTTCAGGAGTCCATTTATGTTATAAACCGTGATGGGGGCACGGAGAGCTGGCGTCTTGTTTTTTTTTTGATATGAATGGAAGTGCAGCTGTTTCCTGCATCCTTCACATGGTGAACTGCGGAGGAACGGCGATGAATACTTTATTAGCTTCAGCGGAAGCCACCCTGTCCCTGCCTCTGTGGGACGTTCCAAATTGGCATCGGTGCTTGTACCTCCTGGAGCAGGAATTGTGGGACATATTTAGCTGCCGCCCAACTTCCTTGGAAGGTACCAGTTGATGTGCACTTCCTCTGTCAGTTTTTTTTTTTTTTTTGCAGAATGCATCGTTTCGATGCATTCAGCCACAGAGATGGAGACATAATGTTATTCATGCAGCCAGCGCTTCTTTGCACTTTGCAGACACAGGCTAAGCTTCATGGATATTCTCCAAGGTAATCTTCTGCATTTCACACAGACCTAACAGTTCAATACGCGCTCCATTGTTGATGTGAACGATTTTTTTTTTTCCTGCCTGAGCATCAAGGATGCACATCAAAGTGGAGCACTTCTGTAACTTTCACTGGCTCCTGCATACACTGAATAATGGCTTGTGATGTTAACTCTTTAGTGCCTGGATGTAAGCTGCTGTCCACAGACAGCTGCCGTGTTGCATTTGCAGAGATCCAACCCGCACGAAACGAGGCATGTCTAGCGCGTGTGGTTGCATGAAGACAGAGCCTCCAGGCACACACAACATCACAAGCTTCCAAAGGCCCAAACTTTCAATGTAATCTCGCAGTCAACACTGGTAATTAGTCGTTCCCTCAATAATAGATGATGTTTTAACAGCTTTTAGCCGGGAGCGCTCTCTGCCGCTGTTTGGGTCTGCGTGCTGGAGTGACAGCTGGGCCCCTGCAGTGCAGCAGATGGAGGGCTGAAGTCTGCAGGTCCCTACCTGGGACAGAGCTACAGGCTGTTAGCACGCGCCCTCCCACCAGGTGTGCAGGTGACAGGCAGCAACGGGGCGTCCTGGGTGAGGAGCAGGGCTTTGTAACCTGAAGGTTGCTGGTTCCATTCCCTGGTGGGGCAGCTTCACCTAGATTACTCCAGTAACCATCCGGCTGTGTAAAATTGGATTATGCTATTGCTGTTGCTATGCAAGTCACTCTGGATAAGAGCAACTGCTAAGACGGTGAAGTAAGAAAGTAATGTGGTGAGAGGGGGGATGCTTACCAGGGCTGCAGACCAATAGCAGTTTATATTACATTATTGTCATTTAGCAGACACTCCAGAGCAACTTATATATGTTACAATTTTATTCATTTATACAGCTGGATATTTACTCAGACAATTCTAGGTTAGGTACCTTGCCCAAGGATACAATAGCAGTGCACCAGCATGGAATTGAACTTGCGACCTTTCGGTTATGAGTCCTGTTCCTTATGACTATGCCACACTGCCGCCATGGCCTGGGCCTTCAGCATGAGACCCTTCTTCAGGTGTGAGGGTGATGGAAGTGGAGACTGCACATGCACTCAGTAGTTTGTTAGCTCAAAGTACTGGACTCGCCCTTTTGATTAAGAGCACTGACACCTGGCCACGCAGCCTCCCTGCACCCGATCTGCAGGAAGGAATAAACAGGTCTGGGATTTCCCTTCGCAGTCTTCCTCTGACAGTGGAAGATAAAACTGTCTGGTGTTTGGGGTGGGTCTGTGGTCAGGGGAAGCACAGCAGTGAACTGTGGAGACGGGATGCCGCAGAGGAAACCTGATCTGTGTATGTGGTCTCTGTGTGCGCGCTGGCTGTTGAAATGCATGTGGATGTTAATAGAATTTCATGTAGCCAGTGAGGATCATTACAGGGATATTTTAGAAATTAGTGGAGGTCATAGTTTACCTGCGTTCTGTGTACCAGGTGTTTTTTCTTTTTTTTGTTGCTTATCAGTGTTGCTTTTTTTTAACTTCTGGATTCCTGTCTCATCCACATTGCCGCCGAGCACAAACGTGTCATTAAAGGCGTTTGAACTTTGAAAATGTGGAAATTGCAAAGCGAATTTGACTCTGGGTGTCTGAGATAATTGCTGTTTATGCTCTAATTTGGGTTGCTGTCTAGGGCCCTTCAGCCTTGTCTTTTGCATGGTTTTCAAAGGAGGGTGATTACCCAGCATTCCTGGTTCCTCTCGCACGCTTTCTGCAGTCTTGTCCTGACCTGCGCCTCATTTCCTGTCAAACTCTGTGAAAAGTGATGAGTCTGGATTTCTTCGTCTGAAATTACATCCACACTGTGTACAAAACAGATCGTAATGGATGAAGTGTCATGAAATTCTAGCAGAATAAAAGATGAAGGAAAATATGGATTAAGCTCTCCACATAAGTCACCTTGTGAAAAAAAAAATTACTTGCATTTTTTTTTCCACAAGTCCAGTACCTCTAAGGCCATTCTCGACCAATGTTAGGTGGACGTGGTGGAGGATCTATCTGTGCCTGTTATTTCACTGACCTGTGAGGTTAGTGTTTGCTCTTGTCATGTCTTCAGGAACAGCTTCTACAACTTTAAGTGGATTAATGCTGCAGGATAAATACATAAGTATGACTGCTGCAATTATGTTGTGTTGTACTGTGCTGAGTCACATGACCATCATGTCCAAACAGCGGCTCCCTCATTACATTACATTACATTGTCATTTAGCAGATGCTCTCATCCAGACCGACTTACATAGGTTACTGTTTTTACATGTTATCTATTTATACAGCTGGATATTTACTGAGGCAATTCTGGGTTAAGTTCCTTTCCCAAGGGTACAGCAGCAGTGCCCCAGTGGGGAACTGAACCAGCAACCTTTTGGTTACAAGCGCCGCTCCTCACCACTATGCTACACTGCCTCTCTGTCACACACCCAGTCCTCACTCCACATGTTCCCTCCACCATAGGCCTCTGCACGCAGTGGCACCTCCCTTTCTGCTCTCCTCCTCACCCCCCCCCTCTGCGGCCTTGTGATCTCAGGTTCTGAGGCCTCCCGCCGATTTTAGCGGGGTGCATGTTATGGTTGGATGTTAATGTGATCTCAGGCGCCTGAGGCAGGGGCTGAGGTAGTTGGAGTGACGGAGCTCATGGGCCTAAATTGCCCTCATTTACAAGCAACCTATGCAAATGCACTCCCAATTTGAGTGAAGCGCCGGACCAGTTATGGAAATGATTCCCAAAACATGTCATCTAAATTGCAGTCCTCCTTCCCCACAGCCTACATGGCTGATGTGAACTCCTTCAGTTTGAAGACTTAGGCCTAGAGGTCTGATTCATTTCTTTCAAAGAACATGAAAAGTAGAATAAGTCAGGAATAGTTAAGGCTTCCCAAAATTTCAAAAAAATAAAAGTTCTGTGCATAAATGAGGTGGAGGTTTTTTATGGTCGTTCAGGGCAGTGATGATCGCTGTTGCCATGGTTGTATCCGATCCGTGTGGACCCATGGAAAGGCCTTTACTGAAAGTCTCGTTTTTGCACATGCAAAGCTTTCTGAAGCCACCTCTGTCCACGATCTCGTTCCCCGTGTTGACCTGCCCTAACGCCTCATTTCCCGTTCCGGTCCCTGCAGGTGAAGAAGACCTCGGAGGCCACGCTCACCACCCTGCAGGACATGGTGACCATCGAGGACTACGACGTGTCTGAGTGCTTCCACCACAGCCGCTCCACCGAGTCTGTCAAGTCCACGGTGTCCGAGACCTACCTCAGCAAGCCCAGCATCGCCAAGAGGAGGGCCAACCAGCAGGAGACCGAGCAGTTCTACTTCATGGTGAGCGCCCCCAACTGGAGCTTCCTGTGCATTGCAGCACAGACCCGCTGTGTCTTCAGGTTTGGCGGCTGACTGGTCCTGTAGATGTTGTGGAACAGTCTCTGCAGTGAGATATGGTTTTATCCCCAGTTTCACTCTGAATTATCTTGAGTTTTTTCATGGGTGAAAGGCACATTCAGTATGGAAATATATCCCCTGACAGAGAGGTACTGTGAGAGAGTTATTACTCTGGACATAATCTGTGCGCCTCATTGTGAAATGTGTTGAGT